GGTCAGAACTCATTGACTTGTATATAAAAACACCTGTGAAACGCAAAATACTTATTTTAAGCCACTGTTTGTCATTTAAATTAGTTATTTATTTTAAATTTCCATAACATTAAAATTCACAATTACTTCAGCTTTATTTTGAACCATAGTTTTTAAAAATCGAGCAAAAAATAATAAATTTATAAGAGTTTTTCATCAGGATGATGCAACGCACAAGCCACGCCCAGTCCATGCACTAGCCACGCCCACTCCAGTAATATATGTCATTGAGTCAGACTTTATTTTAAGCTTTTTGATCAACACTGATTCAGACTCTTTGAAAAATGTTTAAGAGCTTTTCTTATAAATGTCATCTACATTACGTGGGTTCAGATTTTAATCCCGTTTGTTTCTGKTGTTTGTCCAGAAATCCGGCTCGCTTGCAGGAGTTCCCATCTCCGGGGTAAAAACTAAACATCTGATAAAAACCCTGGATCTGATCACTTTGTTTTAATGCTGAATAATAATGTGGTTGTTTCCGTCAGTGTTTGGGGGACCAGTCGGCAGCTCTGGTGGGTCAGATGTGCTTCGAGGAGGGCCAGGCCAAAAACACGTAAAGAATTATTAATTTTTTGTAAAACATCAGAATCTTTATTATTTATGTGACYTTTTGTGTTTGCTTGTAGGTACGGCACCGGCTGCTTCCTGCTCAGAAACACAGGGACCAGGGTAAGTTCTGGACCCAAAACCTTCAGATCTTCTCTCTTCATTTCACTTCATTTAATTGATTATTTTATGTTCTCAGCCTCTGACGTCGGAACACGGCCTCCTCACCACCGTCGCCTATAAGCTGGGCAGGGACAAACCCGCCTGCTACGCTCTGGAGGTTCTGGATCTGTTGGGCTGCAGGTTTTACAGTTTACTCCAGTCTGCCATAACGTTATGACCACTGACAGGTGGATCAGAGCTGAAGGTGAACTCGGAACAAAAGTGGGTCAGAACATCTTCAGAACTGCAGCTCAGTGGGACGTTCCAGGWCTGCAGGGGTCTGGACCCACAGTGGTCCAAGAAAGAAGAACCGGTGATGATTCAGGATAATTAATGTACCTGCTCTGTGTTCTGATCCAGAAGGAAGTTGAAGGTCCACAAGAGACCCTCAAAAGGTCCACAATAGACCCTCAGAGGTCCAGAGAGACCCTCAGAGGTCTCCAAGAGATCCTGAGAGGACCACAGGAGACCCTCAGAGGTTCACAAGAGACCCTCAAAGGTCCACAGGAGACCCTGAGAGCACTGCAAGAGACCCTCAGAGGTCCACAGGAGACCCTCAGAGGTCCACAAGAGACCTTCAGAGGTCCACAGGAGACCCTCACAGGTCCACAGGAGACCCCCGCAAGAGACCCTCAGAGGTCCACAGGAGACCCTCAGAG